TGATCATCCCCAGATGACTCAAATTTGTTTTGGAATGGCAGCTAGTTGTGGAGTGGGGCACAGATTTTGATGAGACATGAGCTGACACCAGCCGATTCCAAAAATATCCCAGAGCCAGAGTTCAGCTTGTGTCTGACTTCTGAAGACTTGTGTTCTGTGGAAGGTTTTACGGGCTTCCGAGTGCAGTTCTTGTTGTGTAGCAGAAAGAGCATAGGGTTTGAAGCCAGAAAGACATGGATTTAAGTCTTGCCTCTTTCTATTACCAGCTGATGTGACTTTAGGAAATGTTATTTAGACTCTCAGGTCATTTCCTATCTGGAGAAATCCCTCTGAGCTCAAGGATTTGTAATAGTGTCTGTAGAATGCCTGATAGGTTATCAAGCAATGCCTTTCTTCAGTGTGTGGCCACCTTTGATGCACCAGGCAGCAGGGGCAGGAGGAGTAGATGTTGATGTTACCTTGAAGGGTTGCTTGCTACATAATGTCTCAGCACAAACAAAACTTCCGAGTCTGCTAAAGTGCATAAAACAACTGGAGTGTTCATTTCTCTTTCAGATCTCTTCCCTCAGCTTGGAGCTCCGAGTTCTCTTACGCACAGCAGTGAGCTTGGCAGCCCAGGCCAAAGTGAGCTCAACAACATAGACCTGGCAGCGCTCTTCTCTGATGCACCCGGTGATGGTGGTAGTGCGGCGGGGGCCTCAGATGAGGCGCTGAACTCTGGAATCCTGACTATTGATGTTACTTCTGTGAGCGCTTCACTCGGAGGGAACCTTCCTGCTAATAATAGTTCCTTGGGGCCCATGGACCCGCTGGTGTTGGTGGCCCACAGTGACATCCCTCCAAGCCTGGATAGCCCTCTTGTTCTTGGCACTGCAGCCACAGTTCTTCAGCAGAGCAGCTTCAGTGTGGACGACGTGCCGACTGTAAGTGCAGGAGCATTAGGCTGTCTGGTAGCTCTGCCTGTCAAGAACTTGAGTCCGGATCCACAGGCTTTGACCTCAGGTGGTCATTTAGCAGACAACACCACCACACTGACCTCTCTGAGCCCCCCACCTGGAAACACCGGTGGCCCAGAATTGCTGGCTCCAATCAAAGTGGAACCGGACTCGCCTCCTGGCCCCGACACCGTGAGGCAGCAAGAACGGAGCCGAGGGGCGCCCAGGTCGGTGTTCTGCAGCCCTGCGGAAAAGCACAGTCCTCAGAAAGACACGGGGCTCAGTGCGGGGACCGGCAACTTTTATTTGGTATGAAGTGCTCTATTCAGTCACCACCGCGTAACTCGCTTCTCTTACACTCGGTTTTGAGGATGTTCTGGATTAATCGTTCATATGCAGACATTTCTTACTGGTTTGCGAAAAGATGGAGCCCTGGACTACAAGTCTGGAAATCTGAATTCTGATCTTGAGTCTGGAACTGACTAGGTTTTACGACCTTGAGGAAATCACTTATCCTGTCTGAGCCTTAAGTTCTCATTTATTTCTAAAATGAGGGGGTTTGGCTAGATGATTTCTAAGGTCCTTTTGAGTTCTGTGATTCTGTGATGATATGTTTCTTTTCTTGAAAAAAAAAAAAGGGGGGCGTATTTCATAATGTTGAGATGTTCTGCCTTTGTGCTTTTCACGGAATAACAGGTCCTTAGACTTAGTAATGGCCAGAGGAAGAGGAATCGTGACATCAGGTTTAATGGAAACTTTAAAACCATGCAAAAAAAAAAAGCATTAAGCATTTTTTTTAAGTTAGAATTAACAAGGAAAAAAGGGAGTGGTTTGTGAGCTTTTGTTTCTGTAGGGTTATAAGAGTACTTCTCCAATTTTGAGGCTCGACAGTTAATATACTTTAATTATATTTATGTCAGTTAATACATTTAATATAATTTAATTTAAAATTATTTAATTAAAGATTCTTGGGGGAGAGTCTGATTATTTCCTCAGTCTCAGATGGGATTGATCAAATAGGTTTTTTCTTTGTGGCACAGGTTAAATTTGATGGTGATATTTATATTGTTCAAAATGTTAAATCTTATTTTACCACAGTTTGTTTTTTTTTAAAGTTAAATTCTTTGAATTTGAATCAGTTGTGAGGGATGTGGTAACCCATCTACCATGAGCCTTTCAGTCTGAGAGAAGCACAGTCTGTCGTACCTTTTCTGATGGCTCCCACTTGTCAGTGGCATAGCCATACTTGGCAGCCTTTGCTTAGGTGGCCAGAGGGGGAGATGGCCGAGGCTCAGAGGTCAGTGGGGAGGCAGGGCCTGTGTGGAAGGCCTTGGTGCCTTGGGAAACCATAGTTCCTTGGTGCCACTGCATCTCCAGAGCCATAACTGTGGGTGGAGGCAGGACGAGCCGCCATGACCTTGATCCTGACTCCTTGTTCATTTTCTCGCTAGCTGTGTGACGTTGGGCTGCCTCGATTCTCTGAGCACAGATGGTGTGTGGTGAATGGGTTACAGGTATGCCACAAGCTGTTGAGGGATGTTCTTTTTCTTTTTGTAGTGGTAAGCATTAAGCTGTTTTTCTTATCAAACGTTCACAAATTTACAGAAGTGAAGTCCCGTTTGAATGGGACTGTTTGGCTCCCTCCGTAACCTTTCTGAATTCAGTAATGTAGTTCTTGTTTTGGTGTATATAACTTTTGAGTCCGGCACCTGCCACCAGAGCGGCCTCTGTAGTGGGTATATGAAATAGGACCTCCCTGGGTCTGCCGTACAAGTGTTGTGTGGCATGTTCTGGAGAATGTTGAGAAGTGCTGCAGTTAATTAATCCTGAACCACCAAGGGAAGGCTGGTTGTTTCAGACAGCAGAGAAGTATGTAACTCCTTTTATAACAGTTTCTGTGTAAAGTATTTTAATATGTTTTAGACTTTGGAGGAATAAACTTTGCTTCTCTGGATAATAAAATTATGTATATTGTTCCAACTCTCATTCTGTTTAGTTGTCACTATAATTGGATGTAACATTTGATTCTCCGTGAACCTTTGCTGGAGATCCTCAAAGATTATTGGACTCTATCTACTCTGTTCAGGAGGCAGACTTAGTACATTTCCGTAGTTCCCTTGCTACCCTTCTTTTACTATTTGGAACGAGTGACTGACACACTTTTCTTTGGTCTCAGGAAAGTGGGGGCTCAGCAAGAACTGATTCCCGAGCCATTCAACTAGCCAAGAAAAAAAAGCAGAAAGGAACTGGGAGCAACGCAGGTGAGGCTGTGTGTGCTGGGGGATTGAGGGATCTGAGTCACCCTGGGCCTTAATTAAGGACAGAAGAAACACGCAGAATAGGTGTTTCTATGTTCTTTGTGTTACTTTTATGTTCAAAATGCCCTTTATCAACTCCTTAGTTTTATGTGAACTTAAGAAAAAATTACCAGCAAAATTTCCAGCATCAGTATGAACATGTTTTATTTATCTAAAAACAGCTGTGCAAAAGGTAGTGGTCACAGACTTCAATGTCTGCTGCCTAGCAGGCTGCTAGGACAAAGAACAGATTGGCCAGGTGTCAGAAGAGCAGAGGTGCGAACCTGATGCTAACTGGCCACTGGCCCCTGACCTTGGCATTAGGAAGAGCCTGGGGACATGGGTGGCACATGGCATTGTGGATATCCAGTTCCGAGTTCTGTTGAAATCTTGTCATTTTAAAATGTCAGCAATTTTTTTGGAATTTTTAAAAAACACTCATTGGGGGCGCCTGGGTGGCTCAGTTGGTTAAGCGACTGCCTTCGGCTCAGGTCATGATCCTGGAGTCCCGGGATCGAGTCCCGCATTGGGCTCCCTGCTCAGCAGGGAGTCTGCTTCTCCCTCTGACCCTCCCCCCTCTCGTGCTCTCTCTCTTTCATTCTCTCTCTCAAATAAATAAATAAAAT